ATGGCAACATCAGTGTTCACACTGACACTTCACTTCCGTACAACCATAATGCTCGTCTAATTATTTTTAAGGCCCTAGAGTAAAAAGACGAAAAAAAACTGGCTGAGGGAGGGGACCTAGTGCTGGCCTATGTCAAGCATTTTAAGGTGCCTACACCTCGAAGCGCTCAGTCAGACAATCTGGAAAGAAACCGACAGCACGAGCGCTGTGCCGGCACCGATTAGCCTCCATTTCTTGTCGTTTCTCCACCCAATCACAGGCGGGGTCACGAGGACCTCATCTTGGCAGGCATACAACACCAACAAAACGTGATCTCTTTCACGCCCTTCTACCAAGCCATACGTTAACGACCTCGCGGCACGGAGACGGTGTTTCGGCATGTAGCCTAACTCATTAGAGCTTCACTAAAGGCCTTGGTTTCATATTTGGGTATAGATACCTTCGAAAATTGTCATCATAAACGTCAGGTTAATAACTTCCCGGTGGAAACAAATATTGGGTTAGACGATGCCGCACTATGAGACAGAAAAGTTGAAGCCAGCCTTACCGCCAGGAGGCATCATGTGATCATCCTCAGGCTGAAGGAGTGTCAGGTTTTATTGGAAAAAAATGGGGAATATTTGGGTGAGGAGATCTCTTTCACTACATCACCACCAGAATAGTTGGCATTCAACGGAGGTCAAGCCATTTGGCGCTGGCGAATTGCAAGAAGCCACGGACAGTTTGCGCGGAACTCAATGTGGTGCTTTGCGTCAGCTCTTGGTGTCAACGTAAACTCGAGGGTATAAGGCGGACGGTTGAACGTGCAGAGGCCTATCGAATGTCATTATCCGGTCTGCGCATGATGGAATGGTAATGGACATCAGCATCAGCAAACCAGTTGTTGGCAGGCGAGGTACCAGTGTCATACAGCGATGCCTTTAAGCTTCAGTGCAATGCTGCCCCTCCCCCGTATAAAATTATGTAATTATTACCAGTTAGCAAACCATCAAAGTAGTCATGGCTAACTTGGGGATGTTGCGTCAACCCACTAATCCACTAATGTTGTCAGGCGGGTAGTCATTGGAAAGTGAAACAAGTGTACCTCGATTGCGAAAGGTCACGTTTATCAGGTGAGTACGCTGGTGAACCACAAAGCTGGTTCTACGTAAATCCGCACATTTCGCAAGCCCACGTAGACGAAGCTGCATTGGGAAGATTCAGCCCTTCCGAATGGATCGCTTGTTTCCAGGCATTTCAATGCGTGACGTCTCAAAGCTTTTCACGCCTGACTGGATACCCTTTTACCATGCTGTTCTGTCTGCCAGGTCTTCTCATGACCTAAAGTGGAAGATACAATTCTTTATTTAGACTTACCTGGAGGCTTTCCCAATAGTGTACTTTCGGGCGTCCCCGACTTCGACCGTAGACAACTTTTGGGATGAGGGTTTCGGCAAGATCGGAGCCTTTTTCTCATTAGCCTGTATTTAATGTCAACAGTTTTTGCTCTTCGGTGTTCGAAATTCCGTCATTCCATTTGATCTGAAGGATTCTGCGCAGCCAGCACAAAGAAGCTTGGTCAATAACCCGAACACGCAGCGTCCAGGTTTCGCTGCATACAACAGCTCGAAGTACCGCAATGTTGGTGTTTGTGCGATTGTTGTAGATGCCCTTCACAATGTGACCGAATGCCAAGCGGACTTTTGCATTTCGCGTGTTTGTTTCAATACCCATTGTCATGTTTGTAGACTGTGGTCCGCCGAGATAGTCGTGATTTGTGCAACAGCCATGTAGCAGAATACGTAGGTTTTCGAGCTGAATCCATGGCCCAGACACACGTGTCGGAAATATCAATATTTCCGCCAAAGCGAGACGCTGCTGACCAAATATTGTGGTCGACAGCTGTAATTCCGCTTCGGAAT